GAAAGGACGGCTAAATTATGTTTTTGTTGGGACTTCAGTTTCATGGCTTCCCGCAAAGGAAGCCATTTCAGAGAGAAGCGACAACAACGGCAAACAACCGTCGCGACCAAATTTTGATAACTTTTCCTTCTGACTCAACATGTAGTTACTAGAAAATGAGGTTGGATCAACATTACTATCTGCCTTATCGATTTAAAGTTTTATGGGGATATAAAACCCAATACAAAAAGCATTTTAAAAGCTTTAGAACTCAAGTGCAGACTTTTTGAGAATTCGCACGCGGCAACCAAGCGCATTAATTCAATACACTTATTTCAAACCACAATATGTCTGAAACGAGTTGTCATTTTAAGACTAAATTGATGAAAATAGATATAACAGTGATTTTGGAGTACCCTACTTACTTAGTGTAATTTAATACTCGAAGTATTCTTGCCAAATAGGGCACGTATGCACACAGTAATTTAATCTGGTGTCGTTTGAAACATACTTTAGCTAAAATAACAACTTGAACAAGAAGACCAGCAATGGGGTTACGAAAACAGTCGAAATTGTGCCCAAATTTGCATAAACAGTTCGTCTAAAAAGATAACTTTAAACTAGATTCAACCAACATTAATGCAGTCGAATTTTGTGAGTGTTTGATCGCGTATTTCTACTCAAAAATACCCTTTAAAAAATCGTATCTGCTCACTTGTGTTCCGTGTTCATCTTTCTTGTGATTTCCGACTTCTATTTTTAATAAAGTTTGGAGAAATCCTCATCTTTTTGGCTGAAAATCTCGCGCATGGTTCACAGAAGAACTTGGCCCCAAAACGTCAATACATTCGCTTTCCTTTCATGCCAAATTTTCGTTGTAGTTGATTCAGAAACCTCTTCTTTTCTTGCTTTTAAAACTTGCTGTAAAATCTTTCTTTGTAACAGAATCGCCATTATTCATTATTTTTGGAAAACTAAGATTTTAAACTTGAAAAACTTTGCGAGTTTCTGACCGATTTTCTTGCGTGATACACCGTTGAAAAGCTCGAATTTCACGTTCTATTTTCGTATCCGTTGCTAGGCAACCCAATAAACACGTGCTCAAATATCATGCCCGCAAGTTAAGGTGTCATGCCAGGGCGCATTCGGGCGCATTGTCCGTTACCCACTTGTCAATCTCAGGGCGCATACGGGCGCATTGGGCGTTAATGAGATAAGGTGGTTTTATTTGTTAATATCAATAATTAGGTTTACCAATAAAGTTATGTTGATTTTGACACATTTTCAAATTTTACAAAGTTTGTGGCTTGTCATTTTTGTCAAATGGTAAAGCAGAAAGATATTATTGGCGATTTGTGTTGACTAATGTTAGTAGTTTATAGAGAAGTTAAAGTCATGTGCCAATCAAGTGCCATAATTTTGAAATAAGCTTTCAAAATTGATATATTTTGAGACAATATCCATTATCTGTTCAGGAGGGTCGATAAGTGCACTGTTTTCTATTTTATACCAAAGAATAATGATCTAAGTCATATTACCAACACAAATAGAAGGATAAGTCTGAAATTTAGGTATGAATTTGATTTAAACAATAGTGCTGAAAATATGTCGATATTTTGTCTTCATTTGGAGTTCAAGTTGGTTACCAGCCAATTATGTTTCTCTATCCTGATGTTTTCAGAGATGGGTTTTCTTGTATAAACATATTTATTTTCACTAGCGTTTGCCCAAGAGCATGAAGCTCATCTACGGGGCTCATGCAAAGATGTTTCTTAACCACATTCACTACAACACACTAATATCTCACGTTTCAAGCCTATATCTTTGTGCCGATTTCTCTTTTAAATTGATAGTACCTAAAAGACCATGGAAAATTTTTAGATTTAGTATTGATGATGTCTTTGCATGAATTACTGTTTATTCCAACAACACAATACTATACACATATAAAATATGTTTAAAGATACACATAATTATCAGATTATTACATATAGCAGAACAAGACACAATGTTGGCTAATACTGATAGGCCAAAGTCAGGATGAATTACTGCTATAAACAAATCATGAATAAATACCTTTTTTACAGCCATGAATCTCATATAGAACAGAGGAAAAATGTTTTACATTAATCAGTTTGTATTCATCGTCCTGGACGGTCTTTTGCTGCAACGGCTGGTTGGTGTTCAGCATCATGCTTCAATTTCATCTTCTTCCTTGAACAACCATCACACATGGGCTCATGTGTTCCTCTTTTTGTCTTCCTGTAACAGTTTTTTTTTCTCTCACCAACCATCCTCAACAAAAATGTCTCAGAATGGCTTTCTCACAACAACTTTGTCACACACGAAAATCACAAAATTATACTCATTCGTCAGTGGTTTCACATTCTGTGGAGAGCTATATGTCATGTTAGCCAAGTAACCTAAGGTCTTCAAGTGAACATAACCTCGTAACTCCTAAGGTCTTCAAGTGAAGCTTCATTTTGGGAGGGGTAAACAGTGAATAAACACAAAATTCTAACTCACGTTTCCATGGTAACGAGATCATGACTATTTTAAAACATCAAATAAACATGGAAACAAACTAACTGCAGCTATGGTAAATCTAATAGTTGAAGTGTCATTTTTTGAAAGAAAATTTTTTTGGAAAATCTTCAAATTTTAGGTTTACCCCCACCTTAAAGCAGTTTATTACATTGCCATCCTTTGGTTACAGCCACGTTAGAGTTTGTGAAACTCGTTAAGATTGTTTACTATATATACTTCAGTGAAAGTATATGTTAATTCATGTTTCATTCTTTACATAGAGTATGTCTATATAGTGTCAACAGACTTTGCCTTCGGTTGTACTAAAACTACTAAAACGAGCAAGTCTGAAGTTCACAAAGTACCTTCCAATCTCGATTGGAAAGCACAGAAATGTTTTAGTAAGTTATTTTCATGTACCAAATAGTTTGTCCTTTGGACGCTCGGTGAAAGTATGATTTCTCGTACATCCAGTATTTGATTTTTTTGCTAATTGTTGTTTGCCCAAATATGATCAAATTCTGATTGGCCTTGGCCAAAAGGTAGGTGGGATTTTTGTTCTGTCCATTCACCGCCCTTTGCTGAGAGAAATGGTTTTCTATGACATCCTGATTTATGATACATGGTTTAACTATGCTTCCTGGAAAGCGTTGTAGTTTCATACGTGAAATTATGCTATATTAATTAAATTAAGAAAACAATTAATCAGGGAATTTATTTATACCATGACAATCTGATTTAATTTTGCCACCTACTTGTTCTGTGCATTTTTGTAGCTATGTTACACAATCTTGCACATGGACGTTGCAACAGAAACACATTGCAGTCTATTAAAAACACCATTGGATCTTCTGTCATCATGTTTGTTGCCACAAAATGAGTGTTGATGGGGTTGCAATTGCTGAAGTGCATCTTGGTCAACTGCCTGTTCAAATCACAACCATCACATATTGAATGGTAAATGCTATTATAAATTATATAGAAAAGGTAATGGTTATTGTCTCCAAGAGAGAAAATAATGTTGTTCTAATTTCTCATTGTATACATCAAAGATAATTATAACCATATAAAAACCTAGGAAAGTATAGCAATATAATAATTATCAAATAAAAGCTAATTTCGTTTAGAAATAACGTACCTAAATCCAGCCTGCCTTATCAGTGACACGCCTTCCCAAAACTGAAAATACAATATTGATAGAGGACACTGACCAGTTGGGAAATGCGCAACTAGACACCTGAATCCACAGTCACTCAGGAATATAAATTGCAGAATGTGTGTGGCGATTTGTGCAGCTTGTGATCCTACAACATAAAAAGGACATTTCTTCTATAGACTGTTTTATTATCTAAACAATCTAATTCATGCGATGATTATCATGCTGTTAATTAAATACCTGTATCGATTTGTTTCACATTGTTATGAAATTGCCCCAGCTCTATCATTCCAACTAGCTGATAATTGCCATCACTCGTTTTCATCTGAAGATCTTCCTACGAAAAAAATGCAGGTTAAATTTAGAATAATGAATATTGGATGAGGAAATAGCACATAGTTGGGATAGGAAGTAAGTGATATGAGTAAAACAGTGAAACAATTGATAACAAATAACATTTTACCTGGATTTTCATTTCATCAAAAACAAAAGCACGCCAGTATAATCTTCCGATTTTAACTTCAGTCTCTCTGCTTCTTTCCAGCACCAGACAATAATGTCTTTGTTCCAGCCAGGTTGCTGTGGTATTGAGTTCTTGTAATACCTGTACATTCATCAGTGCAATAGTACATATAACAGCGTTTGTATATTACCACAGGCAGATGATGTTAAATGTAGACAGTTCTTAGTTACCTTATTAGACGGTTGCTTGGCAGAACAACACATTCCTGCATAACATCTAAAGCCCTTGAATTTTTGCAATAGATATCAAGAGCCAACCGAACAATTCTGCAAACAAATCTTAGAAGCATTGCCATTGGTTGTTAAACAGCAGTATTAAATGTATTATATATAGGTTTAGGGTGTTAAAATGATTTCAATTAAAATTGAAATTATAGTTTACAACTACAAAAATAATCAGTACAAAACGTTTAGACACAATAAACATTCAAACCTGGGGTCCCATCAATGGCCATTGGACAACTTGGCTGACAATTGCTTCAGTTGCATCTCCCGTAACAACTTTGTGTGTGTTGGAATTTGGTTGTTTGTTATTCCATCCAATATTGCTTTCATGTCTTGACTGTCGTTGTTTGCTAATTCAATCATCATTTTGTCAACCTGCGTTTTGTCCTTACCACTTCAGTTGTGCAAGATATTTTCTGACAGAGTAGTTTAGCTTGCAGTTCACACCTTTCAAACACCTTTCATTGATGAAATGCTTGTCTTTATCTTTTCCGGATTCTTTCCTCTTTCTTTCTTATTCCACAGCTTGAAAACATACTGACACCTTTTGCACGTCTTCATGCCAAATCATAACAATTAACATGATGTGGACACTAGTCTCTTTCCAATTTTTGAATCATGTAACTTCAGTTATCAGCTCCGATTCAAGCAAGTTGAATAAATGTTTGTTGGCCTCTCCTTCGCTTGATACAGTGTTTCCCATGCAAAGGGTTGCTGCATCAATTGTACAAATAATAGTATCGACACCCTCAATTGACAACATCAACAGGACGAATTGCTCAACAATATCTTTAAATAAGACTGCATCACTATGAGTATGGATCATTATAGTGTTTTTACTGATACATGCTGAAACGTCACAGAAATTGGGACGACCTTCAATATTCAATATATATGCATCCCCACTGCTTGAATTTTTACAAAGGAAATTACATTGTGACCAAGAGAACAATTTGCAACCCAGTTTGCCCTATTAAAACATAGACCTTGAAGCTTGGGCACAGAACGTTCATCCAGGCTTTCTATGTATGTATGTATGTAAAGTCTTTATTATAAAAATACCAGTTACATCAGACGTGCAACTTTACAATAATTATTGGTATACCTCCCACATACTATATGCTAATATATGCTAGGTAAAAGTTCTAATAGGCTCTATAATGTTCTATATAAACTGAAATAGACTTCCATTAATAAAAGATCTCTTATATCTCTCTGTTCGAATTTTAGGTAATATAAAGTTATGACCACGCTTCCTGAGAGTTTGTCTACTTAATTATTATTATTATTAAACTATGGGCAGCATTTTCTGAAATAATTTTCCACATTTTCATGTCTCTCTCTCTAATTATATCGGCCAACACATAGTTCTTAGATGTATAACCATAATGATAAGCATGTACGTTTAAGGAATTTCTCAACACGACCCAGATATTTTCCTTTGAAAGCAGCACCCCAAACTTCAATTCCATATAGAATTAGAGAGAAAACAAGATAGTCAAACAGTGTGCTTATTCGATCTTTAGGGTAACCATAGTATTTACAAATCCGCAATATGTACAATCGACTACCAGCTTTGGCCAACAAGTTATCCAAGTACAGATCCCAGTTGCAAGGATTTTCTTGAAAAATCAGTCCAAGAAATTTTAAATAAGGCACACATTCAATTGCTGGTAATATGGGTGGCACTGGTTTGTTTGTCTTACCCCTCACAACCATTTCCTTTGTTTTCGTCATATTCAATGTCATGCGATTATTCTGTGCCCAACTTTGTATATTTTTACTTCAGCTAAAGAAGTGTCACAATTAGCTTCACAGACTTTCGTTCAAGTTGCTGCAGCTGTGCAGGGTAAATGATGGGTGAGTACTCTTCTTTTATTTATATAAACTTACATTTTTGTGCTATGTATTTTTATGGCAAGTTGACCATGACGGTCAACATGGTGGTAACACTGCTTGAACCCCAATCTGGGATGAAATGTCAGAAACCGACCACACCCAAAAATTATGCTCTCGCCTTGTTTGTATGGCAAGCCATTTTGGAAAAAAAGGTGGTTGAGATTAAAAAATCTGTAGAGTTAGCAAACATACATCGAGAAACACATGTTTCACATCGGGTTTTAACAAATGATAGGTGAGTTTAGCAAAAGCACTAGGAGAAAAGAAAATTTTGGGCCAAGATAATGAAGAAGCAAAAACCTGCTTGAGCTGTTTTGGGGAAAAACTCTGTTGACATATTTTTCGCAAACATGTGTAACCACTAACCCCTAGAAACCCATGTGACCAGGAGCTTGTGTTTGCAGTAGTGGCTCATGTTTTCAACCTCACAAGTGCGTTCTACAGGTAAGTGATTTACCTCAGCATTTTATTCCACCATTATTACTTCATTGCACATGTATGACATATATTAAGATAAATATACATCTTTGATTTGGATGGATTAAAGTTGTTTTCTGAGTGCTTTCAAATTAATCGAACCATTTAAGTCAATATATAAACCACGTTGGCACCCAATTGACTCTCTAATTTACTTGGGTTAAATGTTAAACAAACATGAAAATTTTTATTGTTTCAGTATTTTGTGCCTGATTTTGGTATATGTTTCTTAAGTTGAGGTTTTATTTTAAGTCATGTTTTGAATCATTTTAATAAACATTTACATTTGAACATTAACAATATTTGATAAAGCAAATTCAAAATCATTCATGATCTTTGCACAGCCCATGTTTTTATCTCGTACCTAGCGTATTAGCAGCTTTCCTATTGGCTACAAAGAGGTGGGTTCGAGATCGATGTTTTGGCGGCGGCCATTTGAAAAAATTTCAGACGAAGATTTAAATAAAGAATAAATTAACTGTTTTTAATTGTTTTATAATTATTATTTTTTTATTTTGTGTGATGAAAATGGAATATTCTGTATTCAACGTGGAAAAAAAGAAAGATGGCCGCTGAAATTTGTTTGGCACAGGCAGGTGGTTTATATAATTTTTGGCATTGTTTTTGCAGAATGTGTTCATTTTCACTTTTGAAGAATAAGGGAGTATTGTTGAGATTTTTTTAGCTTTAATTTAACTCCATTCAATCCGCCAATATTAATTTCCAACATATATGACGGGAAGATTAAATATTAAAGAACTCCGCGAGTATTTGCAGTAGAAATACGAAAATACCACCAAAAAATTCCGCTAGATCGATGCTATATATTCCGAAATATTCATATAATTTTATTGTTTCTCGCTCAATGTTGAAATAATCCTTTTATACTGAAATTGACAGATGTAAATGGTATTTATTTATAATGTTGACAAAATTTATGGTGTTTTCGGCATAAAAATCTCTGATTCCTAGGCAAAGTAAAATGAGCCTTGAGCACATGTTTGTTACATATATAACAGCCAAGTATTCATACTTACTAGTTTGGCTCGTATTATAATTTTAAGTGGCACCATGTAAATTATGTCTATAAAAACGTTTTTATTTGCACTGATGAATATATTGATCCTGTTCCTATCTGCTGTTCCTGTTTCATAGCCTCAGGGAAGTAGCAGTTCTGATGAGTCATGAGATCCCCACTCCCCAACCCACAGGGAAGGTAGGGGGAAGCCCAGCCATTAGGACCCAAGGTTTCAAAAGCACCCTGTTTAGCACCACCACTAGGCCCCATAGTAGATGACGGATATGATGATCCTGATGCTAGGAATATTCTCCCAGATTTTGCCCCTCAATGACATGTCCGGGATCCATTTCAATCAAGCTTTCACCTGAAGTATGAACTGTGAGCTTGAGTTCATTCAGCTCTTTTTTACTAAGAGAATGCTTCAGGAGGTAGTTTCCTGGCTATACCAATACATATGCCCACATAAAAATAACTCAAAAGTCATCTCCATATACTAATAAAGAAGGATCTTGCAGTCCACCAACCTTGAGAGGTTGATTGCCTTTTAGTATATGCAGGTTTGGTAAAAGTCGACAATAAGATTGAAAATTATTGGAGTATAAAAACTTTATATCATGGTCTGCGGGCAACAGAAATAATTTCTCGGGTTAGGTGCAAAGCACTTATGGCGTTTGTGAATATGGTAGATCCTGTCACTAAAGACTACAGCAATAAACTGCATCAACGACCTGTACCAGCCATCACACAATATAGTTGTTGACAAATACACTGTCAAATCAAGAAATAGGTTGGGAAGTAGGCAGTTCATGAAAGATGGCCTACTATGTGGGGGATAAATCTGTGGGTTGCTGCAGACAGTCCTAATGGTTATATTGCGACTTTGAAATTTATACAGGAAGAAGTCCGGGTATTCATCACAATGGATTTGAGTATGACGTGGTGATCTGATATAAGTTTGGTTACAGTCTTAGATCTTTTGTGGTCCAATATAAAGGAAATATTTTCACCACATAATCCAATTATGTGCTTTGACAAACATCACTGCTTTGGCAAACATTATTGCCTTGGAAAACATTTTTATAACTACTAATGATGATGCAGCCCAACAACACTTGGTGATGCTAAATGCAAATATTTTCATGTTCTAGATTGTGAAAACAATCAATTTCTAAAATGAGTAGTGATTATTTCAAATTTGAATAGCATGACCAAATGTTCAGGCTGGTTATGCCAATAATAACTAAAGTCAATGGTGTAATGATTATCTAAGAATGTATGTAGTAACTGTAGAAATAAAGAAATTTTGTTTACCATGATTTGAGTGTTCTTTTGTGGGTATCACAGACTTATTTTGGTGCCATAGTATCCTTGGACAGTAAAAAATATTGAAAATTTGTATTGATAATATGTTGCGGCAATGAAAAAGGACCTTTGATAAAGGTAAATATTTCATGTGAGCACAGAATGTAAATTTTACTCCACTACATAGTTTATATAAAAATTCAATAAAAATACCTCGATTTATGCTACATGCATGAAACGTCGGGTACTTGTAGATCATAACTGTGTCTTTCAGCTACATTCATAAATTTTTTTGACATATTTGGAATTTGAACCAGTAAATACATTTATGCATAATTGCAACATTTTTTTATATCATAATTTATGCAAATTTTTGCAAGTAAATCGTTAGCCAAGCTTCGGATGAAATTGAAGTTGGTATCGTTGGAAAGCAGAAGTCCTCCTCTTCCGAACGATGCAATTTCTGTTTTCGTACGATGTACGGGGTGTATAAAAAAGGTAATCGAACTTCAGCGCGCTATTGTATCCGAATTACTCTGCGTAGGAACGAGATTTTAACACATTCGGAAAGATCATGCTTTTAGCTCTTGAATGATATCTTCTTCATGCCAAATGGATAAAAAATGAGCAAATACAAATCCGATAAAAAATGTTAGTCAGAATCGCATATTTTCTCCCTCTTGAGAGTTGGGTCTAAAACCATTGAAAATGAACTCCCTTTGGCACTTAAGTTGATGAATTTCACTTCATTAAACTACGCACATATTCATAATTATTATTAAGTCGAAATAAATCTTAGTCAATTAATTTAATCAAATCTTTTCTTTTGTTATGCATTGTTTTAATTAGGCACAGAGGTGAAAATATGCGATTTTGACCAACATTTTTGATCGGCCTCGTACATGCTTATTTTTTCTCCACTTGGTATGAAACGCATGTCATTCAACAGCTAAAAGCCTGATCTTTCCAAATATGAAAACCAATTGTTCATACGCCGAGTGATTCACGTATAATAGCATGCTGAAGTTCGATTACCTTTTTTTTTATACACCCTGTATAGTTTGAAAGATATATGCGTTCGAAGCAACACCACTCAAAATTGTTAATTTTCAACCAGATGGGAATGAGTTAAGCCTAAGTTTGTTTGTTTGCGTAGTATGTTGGCGCCTAAAATGTTCGATATCCAAACACAAAATTATATACTAAAAAGTAAAATGGCATATGCAACCAGCGGATTGAGCGGTTATGGTGAGAGGTAAATAGGGTAGTAGGTGCCCTATACGAAGTCTCATTCATTACTATGGAGAATAGTGGAATTTTGGATGTGGACAACGAAGCTAATTTGTTATGTCTCAAGATTGTATACCTGCCTAGAATCAATACCTCATTGAGAGAATTTGAACAACAGTTGGAACTGTTGGTCATAGCTCACTCATGGCATTATGGTACTCAGGCAACATTTGCAACCAGGGTGATGTTCTAGTCGAAGATGTTCCTGACATCCAAACAGATAATAATGTTGTTGTTCCAGAAGGTTCACTTGCTATGGTTGAAAATACTGTACCAGATCCCTTGGCTGACAATGGCAACTTTGGCATTAATTACTATTGCTTTGGCATTACTTACACATTGGTGCTAATTAGCTATACTTTCATCAATAGAGATACAACATTTATTCCAGTTTTTAATACAATAACAAACATGTTACTTAATGTTTTTACAAGAATGTTTAAATGTCAGTTTGTAGGAAAAAATATCCCAAATAACACAAATTGATAATATCAATGTGTATACAGGGTGTATCAAAATAAACGCAATTCATCTTTTGTGCTTAATAACTTTCGAAATACTATTTCTAGTTAAACGCTTTTAGGCTTACTTCAAAGCCTGTTCTTTTCTCTTTCAAACAAACTATTATCCTTGTCTCCAAT